GTATTGGTACTGGTATGGTATTGGTACTGGTATTGGTATGGTGGGTACTGGTAGGTATTGGTATTGGTATTGGTATGGTATTTGGTATTGGTACTGGTATTGGTACTGGTATTGGTGGTATTGGTATCGACGGTTGTTACTGGGTGGGTTGGTGGTGGTGATGGCAGTGTTACTGATACCGTGTCCTGGTAAAATGATACTTGTACTAATGCGGATATTGGTAGTAAGTAGTAATACTGGTATCGTGTATGTGTTTGTGTGTGATCATATATATGCATATATATATATATATATATATATATATATATATATAATATATATATATATATATATATATATATAGTGTGTGTGTGTGTGTGTGTGCGTGCGTGTGTGTGTGTGTGTGTGTGTGTGTATGTTTGTATGTGTATCAGTGTAATCTCTTTATTTATTCCTTCACTTATACCAGAGCGTATCTTCTCCCCCCCACCCCCAACCCCCTCTGTCCTCCCCCCACACCCTTCGTCCCCCCCTCCACCCCCCACCCACCCCCACTCATCCCCCCCATCCCTAACCCCTCTCCCCCACCCCCCTCACACTCCCCGCCTCACAAGTACACCCCGCCCCTCCGCTCTCGACCTCCGCCTTCATCCCGGAGTGAATTTGAGCTCAAATACTCCGATGCCCAGAAATCCGGATAATATTTCTCACGGAGTTCCGAGGTTTCGTAGTTCGGCCGGAAGTTTCCTGCTCTCTAAGTGTCCATCGGATGAAATAAGATTAAAAATAAGGGGGGAGGTGAGATAGCGGTTGAAGGAGGTGGCTTGGGGGTGGGGTGGGGGTGGGGTGGGGGGTGAGTGTGGAGGAGGCCGAGGAGTGGGGGCGGGGGGAGAGGGGAGGGGGAAGAAAGGAGGGAGGGAAAGGAAGGGTGGAGGGGGGGAAAGAGGAAAGGGGGGAAGAAAGGGGGGAGGGGAGAGGGAAGAAAGGAGGGAGGGGAAGGGGGAGGTGGCTTGGGGTGGGAGGGAGGGGGAAGAAAGGAGGGAGGGGAAGGGGGAGGGAGATGAAGGGGGGGAATCATATGACTTACTTTACGGGCCTTTCTCTCGTTTCGCTCGGCGGTCTGGGTCTCCCTCTTTCGGTATATATACATACATACATGCACATGCATACATGTGTGTGTGTGTGTGTGTGTGTACATATATATATTACATATATATATATATATATATATATATATATATATACATATATATATATATATATTATATATATATATATATATATATATATATATATATATATATATATATATATAATATATATATATATATATATATATATATATATATATATATATATATATATATTATATATATATAATATATATATATATATATATATATATATATATAATATATATATATATATATATATTATATATATATATATATATATATATATATATATATATATATATATATATATATATATATATATATATATATATATATATATATATATATATACATGTATACATATGTATATATGTATACATATACATATATACGTGTGTGTGTGTGCTTGTATATTATTGTATATAACTAAACTGCACATGTAAACATCACAGAACACCTAATGGATTCTGTGTAGGCTGTAAACGTCAGTGGTTATGATTCTTTTTCACCATCAAAGACCCTTTTTAAGATCAGCTGACCTTCGGACCTTAGTTTTGTGTAAAAAAATCTGCTTAGTCAAATACCCGATTCTAGTTAGTAACATCAAACTCAATATATTACGTTCATCTTTTATTCAAATGATCTCCATGTATGAAAATGAGGCATGTAGTTGCATGAGTGAATGAATAAATAAACAGATGTTGAAGTTTATCCTTGTCAGCCTTTTTTGTGGACTGTTATACAATTTTGATGTCTGTTGATGTGACCCTTGGCACTATATTGTGGATGCGTGGGGAGTGGGGGTGTTTGTATAAGTGGATGTGTGGATGTGTGTGTGTGTGTGTGTGTGTGTGTTTATGTGTGTGTGAGAGAGAGAGTATTTGTATAAGTGGATGTACGTGTGAGTGTTTGCTTAGGCATGGTTGCATATGAGCGCTTCTGTATTCTTGTCATATAAACGTACACACACACGCGCAATCACACGCACACACACACACACAACAAACACACACTCTCTCTCTTCTCTCTCTTCTCCTCTTCTCTCTCTCTCTCTCTCTCTCTCTCTCTCTCTTCTCTCTCTCTCATCTCCCTCTCTCTTCTCTCTCTCTCTCTCTCTCTCTCTCTCTCTCCTCCCTCTCCTCCTCTCCCTCCCTCCTCTCCCTCCCCCCTCCCTCCCTCCCTCCCTCCCTCCCTCCTCTCCCTCTCTCTCTCTCTCTCTCTCTTCTTCTCTCTCTCTTTCTCTTCTTACCCATACCCCCTCCCCCCCATAATCCCAAATACCTAATTAACCTATCCTTGATCCCCCACCCCTCTCGTCCAATCAAGAAGCAGATGCAGAATGCTATCATGAAATAATGATTTTCCATTTATCAGCGTCGAAGGTGGGAGTCGAAAAAATAAACAAAAAAAAAACGCGCGTGCTCTTAATCATATCAAAATTTGACTTGTGACATTTCACTAAAATGAAAGGCATAATCTGAGGCTATAAGAAAGGTGTACAGGTATGCTAGGTCGCTCTCATTGTTGTTGTGTTGTAGTACGAGCTTAATTATCATCGAAGTATAGGCATTAGTAGTATTAATTATGATGATGATGAAGATACCGATGGTGAAGCAATCGTGATCACTTGTATCATTATCTATTTATTATCTTCATTATTATTATCACTATTGCCATTGTTATTATTGATATTATTATCATTATTATTTTTGAAATTATTATTATTAATATAATTATTTTTATCATTATTGTTATTATTGTTGCCTTTGTTGTTCTTATAATCATTATCATTATTATTACCTTTATTGTCATCTTTATGATCATCATCATCATCAGCAGCAGCATTCATATCCATTACGACGCTTGAAAATCATTTTGATAAACCGTAATTGCAAAAAGAAAACAAAGGACACTAAAAATGAATGTGAAAAAAATGAAAAGGGCAGACAAAATTAGCTTGATGAACAAGAGAGAGAGAGAGAGAGAGAGAGAGAGAGAGAGAGAGAGAGAGAGAGAGAGAGAGAGAGAGAGAGAGAGGAGAGAGAGAGAGAGAGAGACAGACAGACAGACAGACAGACAGACATAGAGGAGAGAAGAGCAGAGAGCAGAAAGAGAGAGAAGAGCCAGAGAGTTAAGAGCCATTCAGAGACAGAGTTAGGAAATACCGTCTATTATGTTGGCAAATACAAATTGAAAATAACACTTACCTGTGTATGTACATAAGATTTTACCTGTTATGGCCAATTACGACGCACCTTCAGCCCACCTTCCTTAATCTGCTGAGAATAAGGTTCATAGTTGATCAGTCAATGTGACTTTCCAAATGAACTCCCCTTTGTCTCTTGCATGTATGTTGCGGTTCGTGTGCGGATGGGGGGTATGGTACAACGTGTCCACATGAACTCTTCCCCTTAATACTGCCGGGATCTGCACTTAAGGGATCGCCAAAGCTCGGGGCTTTAAATGCATTTAGGGCATTTTGAAGTCGTGATACTGTGTCTGAGGGTAGTAGCGGGAGGCCACAAGCTCATTATGTGGTGGGTGTTGAGGGATGTTATGTGATGTGGTGTGGGAGTGCTGTTTTTTGATGGTTGTATGGCTATGGCGTCGTATGCGCAGGACAGGTGGCGTTGTGAAGACACGGTACGAGCTAACGTGCTGTCATATGGAGCTGGTAGGTGTTCGTCGGTGTGTCTTACTTAGACGCTGTGCACGTAAGCGCTCGACCGCTGGTGTGGGGTATTCGCGTGGTGCTTGGGGGTGTTGGGGCGGTGTTGGCAACGCCGCAGGTGGCCGCGTGGTGTGTGTGTGTTGACTTTAGTGTGGGTAGTCTGTGTGTGGTGCTTGTTGGTGTAGTGACTGTGGTGTGTGTTGTGTGTGGGTGGTGTGTGTTAGTGGTCGGTGTGTTGCTGGTTGTGTGCGTTGGTGCTGTGGGTGGCGGTGAAGAGTGGATGCGTTGTGATTAGTATCCTAGACATGGGGATGATGTAACGTGATTGGAGTGATTTAACCGACGAAAGCAAGAGGAGGCGAGAGAGAGAGAGAGAGAGAGAGGAGATGGAAGAGAGAGAGAGAGGAGAGAGAGAGAGAGAGAGAGAGAGAGAGAGAGAGTCGTTTTATATAGTGGTTGTGACTTAATAAAATGACTTTGTTCATGGTAAATTATGTTTTTCTTGTTCGTTATTATAGGTAAATTTATACACGTAGAGGTATACAATGTCTTTATGTGCACCGGTTGTGTCCACCCTAATCCTAAATAGACATATTGATCGAGAAAATCATATGGGATTATACGAAACACGAGCAGTTAGCAGACTTTTTCTAGTCATCTATTGGTGCTTTATGAGTGCAAAATGGGGAAAATATACTATAACATTTTAGTGTCTCTCTCCCTTGTGACAGTGTATTACCAACGCAAGGTAAATAGGGAAATCAATTGTATTTCAGTTTCGTATCACCCCCTTTTCCTTTTCATGAGATTATATTAGCCATGTGTGTGTGTAGGCGTCTGTTTCCGTATATATATATAATATATATATATATATATATATATATATATATATATAATGTATATAATATATACTATATATATGTGTGTGTAGTGTGTGTGTGTGTGTGTGTGTGTGTGTGTGTGTGTGTGTGTGTGTGTGTGTGTGTTTAATATTATATTATACAACTATATCTGCACACACACACACACACATATATATACATATATACATACAAAATATTCAGTGCGTATGTGATCGCACCAGATGATGAGTTCAAACGTATAACAGCTTATGTAAAAGAAAAAAAAAAAAAAAAAAAAAAAAAAAGAAAAAAAAAAAAAAAGCTTTTCTCTCCATGGACACCCATCTCGTGGACCACCGCCGTTCCACGCTAGAACCAGGAGTAAAGTGCCTCAAACGCCAAGACTTTCGCCGAGTTCCTCCACGGGTAGAACGGACGCCAGACTCGTAGCGATATTCGTGTGTGTGTGTGAAAGTTCTCTTCCGTGTTCGTTCTCTGTTCCTTGCTCGTGGCGATTCCTGTGTATGAGTGTGGGTGTGGGGGGGGGGGGTGAGTGGGTGTGTGGGGGTGGGGGGTGAGTGTGTGTGTGGGGGGGGGGGGTGAGTGTGGGAGTGAGTGAGTGACTGAGTGGTGTGTGTGTGTCTGTGTGTGTGTCTGAATGTGTCGGTGTGTGTGTATGTGGTGTGTATGAATGTATGCACATGCGTGTGTGATTATAAAGATATAAACGTAAGAGAATAGCCATATTACAGGTGAATGAAAGGGATTATTTCTTGCTGTTCATTGAGATGTTAGACCCAATGAGAGACCCCCGTGCCTTGGTGCCGAGGGTGGAGCGGTGGCGAGCGAGACTGTCAACTGTCTCTCTCTCTCTCTCTCTCTCCTCTATCTATCTATCTGTCTCTCTCTCTGTCTTTCTCTCTCTCTCTCTCTCTCTTCTCTCTCTATCTCTCTCTCTCTTCTCTCTCTCTCTCTCTCTATCTCTTCTCCTTCTCTCTGCTCTCTCTCTCTCTATTCTGTTTCTGCGTCTGCCTGTGCTGTCTGACGAGACGTCCTTTTATGCAGCTATTCCTTGTGAGGGTGAAAGTCAAAGGTGAAAGTAGAGAGTACAATTGAGTAAGCTGTATACATATAAACATATATACCACACCCATGTAACACACACACACACATACAATACACATACACATAAACACACACACACACACAACACACGCACACACACACCACACACACACACAACACACACACACCCACACACGCACACACACACACAAACACACACACACCACAGAGTAATCGTTCCTTGAGAAATGTTATTAATGATATACAATTAGGATTATGATAATAGTAAGGATGATTATGATAATAAAAATGATGATGATAAAACTGGCAATGGGAAAATTGATAATGATAATGATGAGGATAATAATAACAATAATCTTAATAATTTAATAGTAATAATGGTAATAATAACAACAATGATAACTACAATAACAATGAGAATAATGAGTATAAGGATAATTATAATATCAATATTAATGATAATGATTTTAGCATTGGCAATTAAAACAGTAATAATGTAATTCTAATAAAGATGATAATGGTGATGATGATGATGATAATGATGACAATGAGAGTGACAATGATGGTGATGACAATGATGACTAGAATTATGCTACTGAAAATGATAGTGATAATAGTATCAGTATTAACAACAATGATATTAGTAACAATGATAACAACAATGATATAAGCTAGAATGTAAATAATATTGATAATAATAATGATATAACAACCAGCAATAAGTAATAATAGCAATAATGATGATAAGAAGTAATATAATAATAATAATGAAAATAGTTATAATATAAATAATGGTAATAATGATAAGTACAGTAACAATACTGATAATGCTAATAGTAATAATGATATTAATGATGATGATAACCAGGATAATAATAAAAATGATAATAGTAATAATAACAATGATGATAATAACAACTGTATTAATAATGATGATAATAAGAAAGATAATTAATAAAATAAAGTATCATGTTTATTATCTTCATACATACCATCATTCTTTCTTTTATGTTATTGATATTATTATTAATATCCTTAATGCAAATACTAACTAAGCTATAATTCAGCTAGCATCATTTGTTTGTTTGTTTGTTTCCTCCTCAATCATGCGTGTTATCTCTGAATTCATATTTCATGTAACTGCGGTTTTGAAGTGCACAAGATGCGGAGTAAATATCAATATTATTTACAAAATATAATTTAATCAATAAGAAACAACGCCAACAAAGGGAAACTATATCGATGATAATATTGATAAAAGTGATATAAACTTTCCAAAAAGCAAGGTAACATAGAATCATCACCCATAACAAAAAATGCATAAATAAATAGATAAATAAATAAATAAATAAATAAATAAATAAGTAAATAAATAAATAAATAAATAAATAAAATAAATAAAAATGAATGAATAATGAATGAATGAATGAATGAATGAATGAATGAATGAATGAAAATAAATAATAAATAAATAATAAATAAAAAATAAATAAAATAAAATAAATAAATATAAATGAATAAATAAATAACAAAAAAAAATCCAATTATATTTATCAAAAACAAACTAACACAGAACCACCAGCAAAATTTTTAAAAACCCGAAATTTCACACACCGTCAAATTTAAGAAGCAGACACATGAACAAACACAATAATTGCGCAGTTTTAAAACGGGTTTGCGATCCACGCTGTCAAAACACGATTAGTGAGTATGTCCGCTTTGCTGTGCTTGTCTTTGCCCACGTCAG